CAGGGCTCCGTCGCCAATTCATCCTCGGTGTAAAGGATTTGTGAATACTTTATTACCCATACTTCAACATTTATCCATTTTTGCGCTACACCATATCCGAACTCGCTGCGCTCTATACGAGACCTAAAATTTATATGCTTTTCCTCTTTTTCTATTTCTGTTTAACTGCATTACCGCCCTTTATAATTGTTGATTTTATATTCTGACCTTGACGCGCTAGTTGAATCTACGTCATGTCAATCTAGTCGTGAGTACCTTTTTTATATATATTGATACTGTAATTATTTATAGAACCATATTCAATACTATTACTGCTGCCCAAAGCCGTCTTTTCTGCCCAGACCATGCGTTTAGTCTAGATTCACAGGATCGCTGTTTACTGCTAGCTGTTGTCGTTAGACTTAGTTCATTTGTCCTATCTTACGCGTCGTTTTCCTGCAGTTAGCTGTGTATTGTTCACCGAGTCCTTAAGCGCAATTCAAATTTCGTCCTACGTTATATCTGTTATCGTTCCCATAACAAAGTTGACTAGACGACATTATGTCTACTCCTGAATGCAATACACCCGCACTTTCTGATGATGAGAAGTTCATGGCGATTTCCAAGCTAGAACAGGCAGAAGAGAGAATCAGGCAACTGGAGTTGGAGCTGACAACGATGCGTTTTTCTTCGGGTTCAAACGTCGCATCACGTGAGGTTTGGTTTGCGCACCAAGCGGATGAAGGCTACGTGATACCAAGCCCTTGAAGATTAGAATTTACCCCCGACATCACACTGGAACTGGACTCAATGAAACCGCTCTGTGAAGCGGCTGTCCAATCCGAAATGGAGTATCGACAAGAAAGCGCTGCATGCCAAATGCCTGAATTTCAAACCCTGGACGGATCAGCCACCACTAGTCGATCACCGGTCACATTTCGAGGAACTGACAACTTTGGCAACACGCTTATCAACCTCCCTAAACGAGACCTGGTGACCTTCGAGGGAGATCCTGCCCGCTACTGGCTTTTCATGCGCTGTTTCGAGGCGAACGTCCTAAAGTCTACAACCGATCCAACAATCAGGCTTTCCTACCTGGTTCAGTATTGTTCCGGCGAGGCCAAAAGAGCCATCGAAAGCTGTCTAATACTGGATCCTGAGGAGGGATTTACCGAAGCCCTAAACATCTTGCGAAAGCGGTTTGGAAGGCCACACATGATAGCCAGGACGCACATCGATGCCCTCACGGATGGCCTCGCGATCAGACCAAACGATTTTGCAACCATATCGACACTAGCTGGGGAGCTCCGTACCTGCTACACCACCTTGAGGCAATTAAAGTATGAATCGGACAAAAATGCTTCTCGGATCATTGGTGCCATTGCAAGACGTGCCAGAAAACACGGCTAATATATCTGAGCAAATGTCGAACGATCGGCAGAACATTCCTCCTCCTTTAACGACCACATTGGAACACATCCTTTCACAGTTGGATATTCTCACACAGACTGTCTCTATCCTGGAACAACGACTCACTCTGATGGAGAATCGTGCAAAACCAAAAACGTAAATCATTTTATTCCATCCTTCACATTCATGCATGTCGATTCCATAGTTTTCTTTGGTTGTCTATCATGTGTCACGAATAAGGGACTATTTGGCTCATATGATAGTCCCACAACGGATGTGCCTCAACTGTATTTAAGGGTGAATGGCGCTCGGACATGTGCACTACTGTGTCGTCCACCTGTTTTCCGGTGTACCTTGATTTTCCTCGAATTGGGCATTTCTCAGCATTTCTTCTACTCTTCAGTTTCTCTTCGACCGAATCAACCTTCACTCTAATGACTTGGATCATTTCTCATGATTTTTTAACGTGTTATGTACACCTGTCAAGTGAAGATTATTCTGCTCACTCAAATCACTCTCGCGTTAGATTTGGATGGTTTGTTATTCGAATGTGTTCTCGTGTGCTGGGTGTAATGGCCAATAGTGTCATTTTCTAGTCGGTTCAGACATACCAATAATAAAATCTGAACTATGATGCTGTTCTCAAAGCCAGTTGTGGATGAAAATAGTCTTTTCCATGGGATCATTTGAGAACTTGTATTAATCACTCTCACGATGATGATCCACTTCGTCGGAATAAAGGCGGATAATTTCCCCGTTTTGTGTTAGACAAAATTACCAGGATCTATTCTAGAATTTGGCCAAATTTTGCTAGCTTTTGTTTCCACTCTGGCATCGCCCTGGTGACCACGGAAGTGGAAGAATGAACTGATACTACGTTAGATTGTCGCACCGTGATGTATGAACTGTTTTGTTTGTGTAGTAAGCACCATTTGAGATGC